CCTCCCTGAGGAGGAGGAGCCACACCCAGGCTTGAGGGTCAGTGCCCTGAAGGCTGTAACTTGCACTGACCTCTCCCCATCCTCAGCCTCCCATCCCATCCATTTTTCCTTTCCTGCCCTGGCAACTGGCATCAGAAAGGAGCAGGGCAGTGTCAGGAAGCCAGCCCGCCATAGCACCCACAACCTGAGAGGTGCCGGAGCCATACTCTGGCTGGAAAAAAAAACCCCTGGTTTGAAATGCAGATGAGCAACCCTGGCTGCAGTCGTGCAAAAGGCATTTCTTCCAGTTCTCAAGAATTATAAGAGGCTTTTCTTACTGGTGGGGAACTAAGGCTAAGGGAAATATATTTGCTGAAAACCATCAAGCAGGTTTGAGCATGAGCTGGAGACGAAACTCAAAAGTGTTTGTTTTCCAGCTGAAAGCCCACCCTTCCTATCTCTCAAATCACCGTGGCTGTTAAGTAAAGAAGTCCCTTTACCAGCATTGTGGAATTGTGGCTCAAGCTGTTGTTATTATCCCAGGTTCTCAAGGAAGCCTTGCGCTTATACTCTCCGGTTCCCACTGTTCCTCGCTGGACAAGGAAGGAAACCGTCTTTGAAGGAGTCAAAATTCCAGCAAACACAACTCTGATGGTGAGTCTGTCGAATGGACTGCAGTGAATGGTTCTCTCAAAAATATTGGCCTTCAGCACCAAACCTCCCAGATCCCCCGATGACATGTCTGCATTAATTTTTGTTTAAGTAAATCTGGGGCAGCGTTATGTGCCATAGTTATGTGGGAAGAATGCAAGGAAGCTGCAGATGTCTAGTAGAAGCAGTCGCAAAACTTAGCATGCCAGAATCTCAGCTTGAACTCCCCCCCCCTTTTATACCTGAAAAAAAGCAACTTTCAAGTCTTTACGATGGCCAAAGATATGCTAAAACTATGTGGTCCAGTGGAAATCACAGAAGCCAGAAAGCAAGTTTAAGTTGGATGCTCTGTGCTACAAAGGATAGCAGAGAAATATGTTTAGCATCAGCTTAGCTGCAGGAGTTTCCGGAAGGTGGTGCACAAGAGAGCAAGTGTGGTGTAGTGGTTAAGAGTGGTGGACTCGTAATCTGGTGAACCGGATTCGCTTCCCTGCTCCTCCACATGCAGCTGCTGGGTGACCTTGGGCCAGTCACACTTCTCTGAAGTCTCTCAGCCCCACTCACCTCACAGAGTGTTTGTTGTGGGGGAGGAAGGGAAAAGAGATGGTTAGCCGCTTTGAGACTCCTTAAAGGGAGTGAAAGGTGGGATATCAAGTCCTAACTCTTCTTCAACAAGGCACCATCCAACCACCTTAGGGACTCCACTCCAGATTTGTGTAGGGTTTAATCTTTAGCCTTTTCTTCTCCCTAAGATATCCCACAAGGCAGTGTAAGTTTAGGAGCAGGGTTTTCCTTCTCCTAGATGGGCTACCTTCCCAGGACGAGCCCCATCTGCTCCTAACTTCCCTCTACAGCAGAGATTATTATATGCGGAATCAAATCAATATGAGTTATAATGTAATGTCAGCTACACCAATAAGATGAAACAATAACCAGCTGTATTTCTTAGTTTCTGTTATGAAGCTTTCACTCCAGCATCCGTCTTGGAACCATTCCTAAAAAAAAATTAAAAAAATTAACAGGCCTTAAGCATCTACCGTACATTGCAAATTTTCTAAAGAAACACTTTTGGCTTTAGGCCGCTAGGTGGCAACCACATAAACATATCTTTATAATAATGAAATACGGTCTCAAATCCACACCAAATGTTTCATTCCAAAAAGTAATATAAAAACCCCCACTCATTTTCAACAAGTTTTCTCAAACAAGATGTTTTTCCTTGATTGGGTATAATATGTTGACTAATAAATTATGGCATGTCCCATATTCTAAAAAAACCCAAAACCCTATTCAGATAGAAGATGTGAGGATTCTTTCCCCAGTAAACAGGTGTTGACATATCGTGTGAGATCCAAAGGACAAGGATCATTTCTGTATCCACATTGTAAACACATGTTTTCAACAAAATTAAGAGTATATTTTTCAGATTCATTCCTAATTCGTAACCTGAGATTTCTTTAATGCATTCCACCACTGAACACTGGGCCATTTTGGATTTTACGGTATTTTCAAAAAATATGTTAATGTTTTTACTTACTTACTTACTTACTTACTTACTTACTTACTTACTTACTTAATTAATTAATACACTGCCCCTCATCTGAAGACCACAGGGTGGTTTACAACATAAAAATACAAAATAAAAACACAAAATACATAAATAGTCTTGTATGTGGGTGCTTTAGTTTAGAGGTGCTCAGATGCCATTGGAGGATGAACGCAAGATCTAAGTAATTCTCTTTCAGATTCATAGATATCAGTGTTTTATCTCCAAACATTTACTTTCTGCTTTCTCCAACACACACCTGTGACTGTTTCAGCCATGTGTCAACAGCTTAACAGCACCATAAGTTCAATTTTATATTAGGGATTGAATTAAATTTAAAAACATTTCCAGCTAATACTGATATAAATGTAGTAGATGTGACTTCAGGGCGTGTGTAGGAACGGCCAGGAAGTGATAACATCATTTCATTAAAACCCGGTGATATGAGGTTGTGATGTGCAGCTGCCTCTTGCTGTGAATGACAAATGTTTTTGCAGCTTGCTTTGCATTTACAAGTGCAAATGACTGTCTCCTCTCTTGCCAGTTTAGTCAATATGTCATGGGACGCATGAAAAGGTTTTTCAAAAGACCCGCTTATCTTCAATCCTGACCGGTTTAGCAAAGACCAAACAATGTAAGTTTCTGTTGCTGCATTTTGGGGAAATTGTGCTAAACGTTCTTTCATTTGTTTGCTTTGGGCTGTATCCAACAGATGCACCCTGTCAGTTCAAGGAATTTTCACTTTTTTGCAGTGGGACTAGGTTTAGTGGATGCACAGAGGGAGAAGAAGCAGGGAAAGTTGGTTGGTACATTAGAAATCCTTGTTTTGAGAGGGCACAGTATTTAATGCTATGCTGGATACAACTCTCTAATACAATACATATTGTCTGGTCAATGTTAGAAACTTGGTGAATGTTGACATTACTGGTAATTCTTAGGATTTTAGGAGACACGCTGGAAAATGTCAAAACAAATTGTAACATGAAGCTCATTTGAATGGCGTGTATGGATAACATATTGGGAATACAAATGAGTTTGGAACATGCAGTGAAATGGCCAGTTGGCATTAAATTTACTCCTAAATTGAAAGGTATTTTTTGACATTTCCTCCTGGATTTTTTAATTCAGAGAATTACCAGCAAACGTCAATATTCACATAATTCTGATGCTATGATAATTTGGTTCTCAGAATAAAAATTGACTGCTTTTTTACTTAACGGTAGCTTGGTCCTGCAGAAATTAACATGTGGAGCTTTTCACAACATAGAGTATTATCAATCGGTCTCTGTGTTAAGCTACTTTTAAGCACACAGGAGCCCAAGACGCTGCCTGGGCAAGACACATACTGTAGGGAATACAGTCATACCTCAGGTTGAAGTAGCTTCGGGATGAGTATTTTCGAGTTGCGCTCCACGGTGACCCAGAAGTAACGGAGCGTGTTACTTCCGGGTTTCACCGCTCATAGATGCTCAAAATGACATCATGCGCATGTGCGGAAGCGGCGAATCGCAGGTGGACGCGGGTTGCGTTCGCTTCAGGATGCGAACGCGGCTCCAGAACAGATCCCATTCGCATCCAGAGGTACCACTGTACAAGCGAATAGTAAAGAGAACCCGCACAAGCGACGCTGACACAAAACCCCACACATACACTAAGTAGAATAGAAGCATTGCCACCCACCCCACTCACCATTCCGCCCTCCACCTCTTTCCCCCTTTTCTTCCTAATGTAACACTAACATCTCAACAAATGAAACTGATCTGTAGAAAGTGTAACTTGGAAAAAGAGACATTGCACATACTTTTGTAAACCAATAAATCTTTAATTAAAAAATGTTAAAAAAGGGGAAAGGGGGGAAAAAGAAATGGAAAAAGGAGGCTATAAATATGATTACCCTTGTCGTACCGAAAGAGTGGATCAAAACTGTAAATCAAAACTCTTAAGCAGGTAGGGTGTTCAAGGTTGCAACGAAGCCATTGCTAAGGACGCTGTCTATGCAAAACCATTTCAATAACTCTTATCTTGAGATTCGTGCATTGCAATTCTATGATTTTCTCTCTCTCTCTATTATTTTTTTAGACCATACTTTACCTACTTCCCATTTTCCCTTGGAGGTCATACCTGTATTGGGCAGCTATTTTCACAGGTAAGGCAGTGCCCATTAGGATTTCCAAGTCTCCTCTTAAGTGGCAGCTGTCCTTTTAAAAAGCCCACCTTGGAGGTCTCTAAGTGGAGGTTAGATGACCATCTGTCATGGATGCTTTAGTACTATAGGGGGCTGGACACGATGACCCTCGGGGTCCCTTCCAACTCTACAATATTCTGTGATTCTACCTTGCTGATCCAGGAGCCTGGGCAAAAGGACTGGTGGAACAGCAGGGTAGGGTGTGTAATAGCTTCAGAGATGGTGCCCCACAGCCCAGCCTTCCCCAGCTGTGGGTCCCCCAATATTTTATTTATTTAAAATATATAGATCTCGCTGTCATGCTCTGGGCCTCAGCAAGGCAGAACTCAGGTTTCGTTCAGAGTGAGGTTTAGGCCATGTTCACATCACACAATTAAAGTGCTATGATATCACTGTAAACATGAACGGCTTCCCTCAAAGAAACTATAATTAGTTAAGAGTTCCTTGCCAAGAGAACTTGATTGTTAGACTATAGTTCTTTGTTATAGTTCTGTAGACTATAGTTCTTTGTGAGGGCCATAAAGGCCTCAGCAGCAGAATGATGGTTGGAAATTATATATAGATCTTTTTTAAGTCTGTATCACTTATGGGCCTGTAATTTTTATTTTAAATGAGTCAAATAAAACAAATCCAAACTATTAATTTTTTTCAGCGCTCTCGGTTTCTTAGTCCGCTAGATTTTTATTTCTTTATTTAATGGCTGAATTTACCGGTAATCCTGTATTTGAACAAGCCTAGAATAAGCATTTTGCACTTATCTGGAGATAGTGTTCAACTGCGTCAAAATGGCAATAGCCAGTTTACCATTCATTCATTCATTCATTGTTTTTATCACAGATGGAGGCTAAAGTGGTGATGGCCAAATTTCTCCAGAGGTTTGAATTCCAGCTGGTCCCGCCTCAGAGCTTTAAAATTATGGAGACAGCTTCGCTGAAGCCATTAGATGGCTTAGTATGCAGACTGAGACCACGGCGCCACCTTCGCTATGAAGGGGATTAAATAATCGGCAGTAGGATATTGTCATCTGCAGCTTGAATTCCTACTGGAACCCGCTTAAAAGTTCCATTTCCCGGTGGGTTGGAGGAGGAGAGAGCAAATTTTGGAGTCGGGGCCATTTTGCAATCATAGTTGATGGGTTTTAAAAAAATTATTTAATCATTTTTTCAATACAAACAACCGCAAAAGACACTACAACAAATACCATAATAACAATAACACAATTTGACAATTCAGATTTAAATACACTGATATACCTACGACTGCAGGTATTTAACAATATTTTCCCACCTCTCTCTCCTCCCCCCACTATCATAGTTGATGTGTGTTTGTGTGTGTTTGCCTAAAGCAGGCATCCCCAACCTTCAGCCTTCCAGATGTTTTGAACTACAATTCCCATCATCCCTGACCACTGGTCCTGTTAGCTAGGGATCATGGGAGTTGTAGGCCAAAACACCTGGAGGGCCGCAGGTTGGGGATGCCTGGCCTAAAGGGTTATCTGTTGGGGGCTTTGAGGTGTTTGTCATCATAAATTGACTTGTACAGGTTTGCCTATTAAGAGGTCTATGATTGTAGGGAGATATTTGTAAGACATAAGGTAAGGTCCAGTGCACTGCAGCAGTGAGAGAAGGCTGGGACGATGGGGTGTGTCCCATGCTGATTAATAATAATAATAATAATAATAATAATAATAATAATAATGTTATTATTTATATGCCGCCTATCTGACTGGGTTGCCCCAGCCACACTGGGCGGCTCCCCAAGAAAATATTAAAAACACAATGCAACATCAGCCATTAAAAACTTCCCTAAACAGGGCTGCCTTCAGATGTCTCCCAAAAGTCAAATAGTTGTTTATCTGTTTGGCATCTGATGGGAGGGTGTTCCGCAGGGAGGGTGCCACTGCCAAGAAGGCCCTCTGCCTGGTTCCCTGTAGCTTCACTTTCGCAGTGAGGGAACCACCAGAAGGACCTCAAAGTGGACCTCAGTGTCCGGGCTGAATGATGGAGGTGGAGACACTCCTTCAGGTACACTGGGCTGAGGCCGTTTAGGGCTTTAAAGGCCAGCACCAGGACTTTGGATTGTGCTTGGAAATGTACTAGGAGCCAATGTAGATCCTTTAGGACCAGTGATTGGCTGAGGGTGAAGTGTGACAGAACAGGTTGGGGGGGGACAGGAAAAGGGGAGTTGAGTTTTGGAGGGAGGAGGCTAGGTCTGCATGAGGAATAGAGTTATAAACCACAAAATATCCAAGCACTGTTATGGAAAGCAAAACATGTAAGAATGTGTCATAACCAGCTTTTTACTATAATAATAAAGTTTTGTTTGTTCAAACCATGTCTCATATTTGGCCAAAGTATTCATGTCTATATGGTGGCAGCAAAATACCGATACGTAGTTAGAAGATGGATCAAGGTATTAAAGCCTAGAGCAGGCTTCCTCAACCTCCGGATGTTTTTGGCCTACAACTCCCATGATCCCTAGCTAGCAGGATCAGTGCTCAGGACGATGGAAATTGTAATCTCAAAACATCTGGAGGGCCGAGGTTGAGGAAGCCTGGCCTAGAGCTTAGAACTCCATAAGGCAAATTGGAACCCGGGGCAGGGGATCAGAGAACCTTTACCAAGGAAAAGTGATTTTTTATTTAAATTTAGGTATCTTCTTACTCCTAAATGGTAGGCTTGGACAGGGAGGGTACATCAGGCTTCCTGATGATAGTGGCGCTGTGCAATGCCACATCTAAAAATTGACAACCCATGTGGATTATTATTATTGCAAATTCATGTGGAAATGTTGAGAACTGAATTTAAGGTCAGAAACATGGTCGAGAAATATAATTATGGCATGCTAATCACAGTGGCTTTTACATTTTTAAGTCACATACAACCACCATATAAAGGCTTCTGAATTAAAACTCAGTGGCTGCATTTCATCTTATAAGGTTAAAACAAAAAAAAAATTCCTTCCAGTAGCACCTTAAAGACCAACTAAGTTAGTTCTTGGTATGCGCTTTCGTGTGCATACATACTTCTTCAGATACACTGAAACAGAAGTTGCCAGATCCTTCTATATAGTGAGAAGGTGCGGGAGGGGTATTACTCAGAAGGGTGGTGGGAATGGGTGATTGGCAGATAGCTGTGATGAGCCTGTGACGACTCTTAACGACTGCAATAGGTCTTACAGGAAAAAGCAAGGGGTGAGAAGGTGAAAAATTCACCCCCTTGCTTCTGTTTCAGTGTATCTGAAGAAGTGTGCATGCACACGAAAGCTCATACCAGAACTAACTTAGTTGGTCTTTAAAGGTGCTACTGGAAGGAATTTTTTTGTTTTGACTATGGCAGACCAACACGGCTACCTATCTTATAAGGTTTGTTACTGAAACAAGTGCTGAATGGAACTCCTGGAAACTTTCCACTGCAGATACTTTTACTGCTAAAGAAGCAATCTGCTCTCTCTCTCTCTCTGCCATGTGATCAAAGCTTCCAAGAAACCTTTCTCTGATTTCAGCTAGACCTCAGAAAGCATCCAGAAATGCAGCCCAGACCAACAGTTTAAGAACCTACCCTAGTGATTCCATGCTTATGAACACAACAGTTTCTTCCATGGTTTACTGTATACAGTATTGTGAATGAATCATTCAGCTCCATTTTTTTCCTTCTGTGCACATGTGGCATGTTCTATGAAGGAGACCACTAGCCCATTAGGCTCTGCACTGGCAGTGGGGCTCCAGGGTTTCAGGCAGGAGACATTCCCAGCCCTACGTAGAGACCCCTGGAATCGAACCCAGGAACCTGCATAGAAGCAGATACTAAAACTACTATTGCCCTTCCGCACTGATTTCAGGGCCTCACCTATCGGAATTTCAGCAGTCCTTGCCCCACTCCAAAATAAGCTGGCCCTGAAATTCCCTGCCCAAATTCTGATGCCTGGATAGGAAAGTTAGCTTGGTTTAGAGCGTGATGCTGTTAACCCCGAGGGATGAAGTTCGATCCCCCGCCTATTTCCTGCGTTGCAGCGGGGTTGGACTAGATGATGCTCAGGGATCCCTTCCAACTCCACCATTCTAGGAGAATCCCTCTGTTTTCTTTCGCCTCCCGATTGGAGAAATTAGGCTTTCCAGGGGAGCTTAGGCGGCGACTTGCTGCAGCAGACACGCCTCTGGGGAGGGAACCTGACCCGGTTTTCCCATGCGAGGCAGAATCGAAAACGCGGCACTGGACGAGTCGCCTGTTCGGAGGGTTGGGTCATGCGCTGCAGCCCGGGCTCCGCTCTGCCGGCGAGGTCCGGGGCGCTCTCGCGGCTCCTGGCCGCCCCTGCGCTGCTGTTTTGGCCCTCCTTGTCTCGGGCCCTTGGCGGCTGCTGGACCTCCCCAATGCCCCCGAGCCTGATGCGGGAGCTGGAAGCAGCGGGAGGCGGATTCTGCGGCGCTTGGCCTGCGTCCGCCCGGGCTGCTTGCGCCTTTTCTCCCGCCGCGGGCGCGTTGGGTTGCGCAGAGCTAGCGGCGCGACGGGCGTGCGCTTGGTGGGCTCCGGGATTACCAAGCTGGTGCAGAGGGCTAGTCCTGCCCCGCGGAGGAGGCCACGAGGTCGGCCCCTGAAGTCCGTGCACCCGGCCGGCCGCGACGTGAGCCTCTGCAGCGCAACGCTACGCTGCACCCGGAGCGGCTGCTACCGCTGGCCGCTTACAAGCTGCTCAAGGAGATGGTTCTGTTGCAGAGCTTGGAGCAGTCCGGCGTCGATCAAGGGCACGTAGCACCGGGTCTGGGGCAGCCAGAGGAAGGCCGACCTCATCGGGAACTCCGCAGGATTGAGTAATCTGGGGGAGTAACCCGGTGCGCGGCTTCGTGGTGGCGATCCTTATCTTGTTAGGATTGCAACCCGCATTGCAAGGGGTTGGATTAGTTGACCCTCGGGGTCCTTCCAAGTTGTGATTCTATGCTATGAATCTTCACTGAAATCAGTTTGCGCTGGATTAAGGCTGCTTTCCTGGGCGCACTTTCCGGCGAGGAAGCCCCACTGAGCAGAATGGAAACTGCTTCGAGGAAGCGTATAGTAGATTGTGGCAGGGGCCGGCTTACCCTACGTGGAAATCGGTTACTTTAAACTCCCACCGCAGTAATATCAATTTGGGGGGGGGGTGACCTGTGATAACTCATGGGAAGGAAACGTCAGTCTCTGCATGCTTAACTGTACTCAGCTTTTTCATTATTGATATTATTATTATCCACGTGGCCCAGGACTTGAACCGTCACGCTAAAAATGTTATGGGGATTTGGTACTCTTCTGGCCTCAACTTAACTGCACAATCCTTGGCATGTTTACTCGGATGCACTTGCCATTCTGTTTCAATGGTAAAGGTAAAGGGACCCCTGACCATTAGGTCCAGTTGTGACCGACTCTGGGGTGCGGCACTCATCTCGCTTTATTGGCCGAGGGAGCCAGCGTACAGCATCCGGGTCATGTGGCCAGCATGACAAAGCTGCTTCTGGTGAACCAGAGCAGCGCACGGAAACGCCGTTTACCTTCCGCCAGAGCGGTACCTATTTTCTACTTGCACTTTGACGTGTTTTCGAACTGCTAGGTTGGCAGGAGCAGGGACCGAGTAAAAGAAGCTCACCCTGTCGCGGGGATTTGGAACCGCCGACCTTCTGATCGGCAAGCCCTAGGCTCTGTGGTTTAACCCACAGCGCCACCCACGTACCTAAGTGTCTGTTCAATGGGGCTTACTCGCAAATTTCCAGGCAGCAAATCCCAAGTTCTTTGCATCTTACTTCCAAGGATTGTAGCTTGAATACATGTGTTCAATCATATTTTGCTGCAATGGGTTGCAGTGGCGTAGCGTGGGTTGTCAGCACCCGGGCAAGGCAAGTAATTTGTGCCCCTAACCCGTGGATTTGCGCCCCCTAACCCGTGGATTTTGCCCTAACCCCAGATGTTGCGCCCGGGTGCGGCCAGCCCCCCCCGCACCCCCCCACGCTACGCCACTGATGGGTTGCACTATTTCTGCATTTATTTATTATTTATTTATTTATTTAATGTATGTATGTATGTATGTATGTGGTTCATACACCAGATTTGTCTCCCAAGGGTCTCAATGTGGTGTACATGACTCTCCTCCCCATGTTCAAATGTCA